TGCTTCCGGCTACAGCCAGAAGGCATCCGGTTCTTAGTAGGGAATGGGGGCATGGATATTGGGGACACTTATTGGGGAGCATATAGGGACCACTATAGAGATCCATTCCCCCATTCCCTACCAAGCACCAGACAGAAGGTGGCAGATCTTCTCATCGCCATGGCGGAGTTCGAGCCTTCGGAGGTGGCCGTTGGACCTTGTCGGGGATTTCTTCTCGGCGTTCGGGCGCTTCCAGGAGCAGACCTGCAGACCTGGAAGGCCGTGGTGAACTGCCTGAAGCTCTCGGTGGCTTTCACGCTCTGCTTCGTGATTGGATGGTTTGGGATCGGAATGCAGACCGGTTCCTTCGTGCCTGCCTTCAATGCCACGCCGGCAGGCACTGTGGCCTACTTGATCTTCCAGGGTGGTAATCAGGCAGCCGCACTGAAGAAGAACATGGACCGTTTCATGGGCGTTGCCTTTGGCTCCTTGTTGGGGACGCTGACAGTTGGCACGTGCGGCTCTCTGAAAGCTTTCGTCGGCTGGGATGTTGCCGCAGCACTTTTTCTTTGCATTTACTTCGCTTTTGAGTTTCTTGCCTTGTTCGTGTACTTTTCGTCCCCGACTTTCTCCTACGCTGGCCTGATGTTCTGCTGCTTTTATGCCAACTCGGCCTTGCGACCTCTCGATCGCCATGACGGCTTCTCAAAAACAGGTGCGCTGGCGAAACCTAATGGGGTTCGACTGCAGTGTGAATCAGATTACCAGAGCATCCTGAGCCAGTTGATTGCCATTCTAGTTGCAACATTGATGGATGTCATTGCCGATGAGTCCCTGAGTATCCGGGCCACAGCAAAGTTGGAGAGCTTTGCGAAACTTGTGGATGAGGCTTTAAGCAGACACAGGCCTTGCTTAGCATGTTCTTTGCTTGACCAGGTTTTCTTGAAGCGTCCCGAAACCCCGAACGCCCTATGAGTCACTACAAAGCCTTTGACCCTGAAATCATGAAAAATCCCCTATGTGTCAGCAGACAGCCTTGAACCCTAAAGCCTTTTGCGATCTCCCGGAACCCTAAGCCCCTAAACCCTTAACCCCCAAACCCCTAAACCCTAAACCCCTAAACCCTAACCCCCTAAAACCCCTAAACCCTTAAACCTCAAAACCCTAAACCCCAAACCCAGAAAGCCCCAAGCCTAAGGATATCCCATCAGCACGCGCTCAGCGGCCCTGGAGTTGCGCAAGGAGGGCAGTCACAGTGCAGTCACTCTAAACCCACAAATGGGCGGTTGTGAAAATTGTGGTCCCCTTTTGAGGTCCCTATTATAGTATAGGGACCTCTTATTCAGGGTACCCAAAAAGGGACCTTAATTTGACAACCACCCAAATCCAAACCCCTTAACTTCCATCCCAAAGCCGTAAGCCCTAAAGCCTAAAGCCCTAAACCACAAGCCCGCAAGCCTAAGCCCGAGACTTCCCTACACCCTAAACTTCCTCAACACCCCCCATATAAATCCTTAACCTCAAACACCTGATCTCCTATATAAACCCTAAACCCTAAACCAACCCTAAACCCCTAAACCCTAAACCGACCCTAAACCGACCCTAAACCCCTAAACCCCTAAACCCTAGACCCTAAATCCTAAACCCTTAACCCTTGAAGGAGGGCAGTCACCTGCTCCGTGCCGCCGCCGCCGACGGCGCCGAGGCGGCGCGCGAGCCGCGGTGCCTCGGCGTCCCGTGGCGTGAGGAGCTTTGGAGCAGGGTCATGAAGGTGCCCGGGCGACAACAAGTAATACTAATATTTCGCATATTACTAGTTACTAAGAATAGTAGCACTACTACTTCTAATATTAGTAGTTACTTTGGTAATAACTGAGTGTAAAAACAATTATAATAGTATTAATAACACCAATAGTATTAATGAGAAATAGTAGTACTAAGATAAGGTGCCGAGGTACTACTACTACTACTACTGCGACTACTAATAACAATACCAACAATACCAGTAGTGAATCAAAAGAGTACTGCTACTCAAAACTAATACGACTACAACAACAACCACTACCACTACCACTACCACTACCACTACCACTACCACTACCACTACCACTACCACTACCACTACCACTACCACTACCACTACCACTACCACTACCACTACCACTACCACTACCACCACTACCACTACCACTACCACTACCACTACCACTACCACTACTACCACTACCACTACCACTACCACTACCACTACCACTACCACTACCACTACCACTACCACTACCACTACCACTACCACTACCACTACCACTACCACTACCACTACCACTACCACCACCACTACTACTACTACTACTACTACTACTACTACTACTACTACTACTACTACTACTGCTCCGACTGCGACTGCGACTGCGACTGCGACTGCTACTGCTACTCCTACTCCTACTGCTACTGCTACTGCTACTGCTACTGCTACTGCTACTGCTACTGCTACTGCTACTGCTGCTGCTGCTGCTACTATTCATGACAATAATGGTAACAATGACAGTAATAACAGAAGTAGCAATAACAGGGCTCAGGATGGCGTGGGTGTCGTTGGGTTCGAGAATCTTGGGTAGTCATAACAATAGTGAGAGTAGCAAGAAACAGAACCATCGCCATGACCGCAGCGATGACCATGACAGTAACAGTAGCCCTGATACTTGTAGCAAAAAGCAACAACAGTCACAATGACAATCAAAAACGCGGCTTCGTTTATTCGTTAGACAACATATACAAGACTAATACTAGCAACGACGAAGACAGTAGTACCGTCACGTCGTAGTTTGAAGAAGTATGTCCTAATCCTCAGGTGTGCAACGAGACGTGGCAATGCCTGACCATCGTGACCACCACCGAAAGCCCGGTCACCCATCAGGAAAAGTCCTTGCGGAGGTCTGTGGAGATTCTGTGCAGCTCACCGAGCTTCCAAGGAAAGCTTCGGAACCTGCAGCTTCGGACCCAGAAAGCTTTCCAACTGACCATGGGCTATCTGCGACAGAACTACTACGATGAGAGGAACACCGAGATGATCGAGCTGCAAGAAGAGATGATCATCAGAGCATCCTTCGCAGAGACCGGGCTGCACCAGATCATCGCCGAGCTTCACGCCGACTTGCGAATGGAGGAAGGCGCCTGTCAGCTACTGGACAACCCGGTGTGCGCTGTGGCCATGTTTCTGATGATGTTCGAGGCACTCGTCGCGCGTGAGGTGCAACTGGAGACAGCCATCTTGGAGCAGCCTGAGGTGTGGCAGCTGTTGACTGAAAAAGATTCTAGGTGACACTGGTATGTTTGTTTACTTTCGGCTATGGTCGTATGGCATTACTTGTTGGTACATCCCCTAAACCCCATCCCCCAACTCCGAAGCCCTGAAATCTAAACCCAAGTCTTTCAACCACCGTCAGTCGCAACCCAGGATTTTGAGTCAGAGCTGAGTGCACGCAGCTCAGATTCCCTGGGCGCGCTTCACTCCTTCTGCGTGTAGGGCCAAAGCCGTGGTGCACAAAGTTGCCTTCGAAGTCCTGAGCACGCGAACTGTAGTTTCCTGTGTGGTACAAGCTGTCATACACCACTGTGGCATCTCTGCAGCATTCTTGAGTCAAGTGGATTGCATATAATATGTATATACATACGATATATTCTCGATGATATCCTATTGCATAGGTACCAAGGTTCTCATAAGGCATAGTGTGTATATAGTTCTCGGGAATGGTCATAACTCGAATGTATTTGTCGCCTGTCGCCGCACTGTTTCGCAGTTGTTTGAATCATTGGCAGATGTAACTTGACTTCTTCCAATTGCAGTGGATGACGGCATACCCCTTCATGTTTCTGCATGTTCTCGTGCAGCAGTTTGTGCGTATTGCATATGGTGTGCTTCGCCTGCACGGCTGGCATTACTTTTTGTCGGGGTTGATGCGGGCATCGAGCCGTAAGTTGCAGTAAATCCAAGCCCTAAACCCTAACCTCCGACGAGATAACAACACAGCATGTGGTATTGTGATTACAATGGCCGCGGTGGTGGTTGCCGAACTACAAGTACTACTGTTATTGTTACTGTGTGCTTTCTGCCACTTCGACCATTACTGCTTTTGCTGCTGCTACTACTACTACTACGACGACGACGACTACTACTACCGCTACCAGTGCCAGTACTAGTACCGTCAAATATGCGGCTGAGGAGAATTTGTTCGGTATTCATAGGCCTAGCATGTCTGGCAACCTGCCCTCAACCCGAAATCCTACACCCTAAACCCTGAAACCTTGAAGTTGCAGCTTCCTGAGTATTCCCGGCTGCGATTCTTAGCATGTCCGGGCCTTGGTCAGTTCAGATGTAAGGGTTCAGGGTTTGAGGTTTAGGGTTTTAGTTTTAGGGTTAGTAGCATTAAGGCCACTTGGCTCCAGCTGTTTTCCGGTGACCGTAGCAGAGATGCCACGCCGCAGTCCCTGCCCGACAACGGAGAGCAGACGAGATCGTTGCCACAAGAAGCTACATTGTCGGAATTGTCGGAGCTTTTCCAAGGATTTTGCCAGTATTTTCGTGGCTTTGAGTGCAAGCTTCTTCGGCACACGAGTTTGCTTGAGTGTGTTCATTCCGTCAGTTCGGTTCCTAGGCAAGATAGTTTCACACAGATTGCAGTGCACATTGGCATTTCGCGTGCAGCCCCTGCTTTGCGAACTCTTTGTGATATCGGGTCTGTGGCGTGGGGTCTCTTCTAGCTTACGTTAGACCATAGCCTACTGTCATTGGCGAAACCATGCCGAAATCGCTCTAGGTCAGGTCCGGCAAGGGCCCGATCAACTCTCTTCGGTTTGTCTGGCACAGAAGGGAAGCCCTAAACCCTGAACCCTCAAAACCCTAAGCCCGAAGCCGTAAAGGTTGAGACTGCCTTTCGGGATTCTGCAGTCAGTCCATTCAAGCTTCTTGTGCTTTTCGGCTGGAGCCTTGTGCTTTTTTCACCTCGGCTGCCGGCATCTCCATGGTGCATAGTGACAAAGAGACTCTGGTTGACCAAAGCAGTCAGCCAGATGCGCTGTCTTCGGAGAGGTCGATTGGGACGACGCGGGTCGCTGGGATTCTCGGAGCCCTTGGCCTTGTTGCTTGGACTTGCAAGCATTCGGTTTCGTGGGAATCTCTTGCTACTGTCCTCTCATGCTTCCTTAAACCCTAAGCCCTCAGCCCAAAATCGAAATCCCTCGACCCTTAAACCCTAAACCCTAAACCCTAAACCCTAAACCTTAAACCCTAAGCCCGAAACCCCAAGCTCCCTAAGCCCAAGGTTTTTGGGACGCTGGGCCTGGTGATAACATGGGGAGCGGAGGTTTCTCCGGAGTCCCCTACATCAGACGCCGGGGAGGAAAGCTTGGATCTCAGCGGCTTAGCTCTTGTCAAGCCTTTAGGGCTTCGGGTCTTAGGGTTTCGGATTTAGGTTTGGGTCAGGTTGGGGGCTTTCGGGTTCGGGGTTTAGGGCTGAAGGTTTGGCGATTCGGGTTTAGGGTTGCAGGATTTAGATTGTAGCCTTGCCCTTTCCTGTGGCAGAATCGAAGCAAAGAAGGGCGTTTTTCAGGTGGCACGGCAGTCATGTAGACCCTTGATTTGGCAGCCTAATATCAAGGCATCTGAAGAGAAGCGGCTTTTTTAACTCGGAGTCTACAGCTATATCATGCTTCGCTCTACTAGAGCCGATCAGGTGTGAGGTTGATGCAACCTTCCTATCTGTGTCTTTGCAGAGCAGCGTCGACCCTCTCTTTATCGAGCGCATCTCCATGCCTATCGCTGTTAGGTTGCTTCTTCTTCATCGTCATTCTTGTCACGGTTCCTTTGCTTGTGGATCTTATTCGTGTCACGCTCACCCTACACCCTCAACCGTAAAGCTAAACCCTGAACCAAAAATCCTTAACTCGTCGCATGTGGACTGTCCTCAGAGTGATTGTTGGCCCCTGAGCTTTCAGCTCCTTACGCCACAAGACGAAGCCCGGCATGCAAACTCTGTCCATAGCACACTTTCACATTGTGGTATATTTCTGATATATGTATATGTATGTATCTTTTTACATACATGTTATAGCTACCTGTATATATATATATATGTATACAAATGTATGTATATGTGCAACCAAATATTTGTTCTATATCTAGACATTTAAGCACTCGGACCAGTCTAGAGCTTTCACCTGCTTGGCCAAAGCGGGAAGCTCCTGAAGCCCCGGGGACTGAAAAGCTCCAATTTATCAAACCCTCAAATACCCTCGAAACCGTGCGCCCACTGAGGTTTTGGGTTGAGGGTTTTTGGTTTGAGGGTTTTGGGGGTTTAAAGTGGAGGGACTCTAATTCCTAAAATATGGTTTGTGGTATGGTGTAACAGTGTAACATGAAAGCCCGTAAACCGTGAGCCTTGAAACCCCAAACCCGGACAGCGCGCGACCAAACCCTGAACTCTAAACTGTTAAACCCTGAAACCACTAAATCCGGAAACCCTCTACAACCCTTTACCCTAAACCTTAAACCCTAAACCCTAAACCCGCTGAGATTTCGGTGTAGAGCCGAGGCGAGCTGATGGAATTCTTCAGATCCCTGAAGGAATGCGGGGGTTCCGGTTCCCAGAGACTCCAATATCCCTCAAATAAAAAATATTCCTTAAATCATAAAACGGACGCCTACGATGAGTTAAGGAAGGAATATTCCTTAATTCAGGGATATTGGAGTCTCTAGGTTATACCCTAAACCCTAAACCCTAAACCCTTGGGAAGGATAAGCGAACTGCCATGGTCGTGGCCTTCGGTAATTCAGCACAGGATCTTCGGATTCACTGGGAATTGGGTTTGGAGATGTTCTCCCGAATTCCCAGTCGACAGTGCTTCGAACGGCACGGCTTCTTCAGGGCATCTTGCTGGAGGGATATTTCAGAGGTCTTCTTGGAAGGGCAGGGGACTTAGGAAGTAGGTTATAAGTAGGGTTACAAGTGGGGTAACTCCATTTAGGGTACTTATAACTCTACTTATAACCTACTTACTAAGTCCCCTGCCCTTCCAGTGTGAGAGACTCGGGCTTTTGGTCAAAGGCCCTCCTGACCTCGAACTCAACATGTCTCACATATCTCCGGACAAGGCTTCAGCACCGTAAACCCTAAGCCCTAAACACTAAGCCCCTAAACCCTAAACCCTAAACCCTAAGCCCTAAACCCTCCTAAACCCTAAGCCCTAAACACCAAGCCCCTAACCCCTAAACCCTAAGCCCCTAAACCCTAAGCCCAGACACCTCCCCCCAGTCTGAGAAGGCACACCCGCTGGGTGCCAAAGCCCTCGCAGATGCGAATGCATCCTTCGGCCTGACGCGTGACAGCCTGGGTCGGAGGATCTGGGAAGACCTGCCCGTTCCTTATTGGCTGTAAACTCAACTTTTCAACTATTGGGGTTCTTGTAAGGTAGTCGAGTCTGAAAGTTCCAACTTTTATTCCCTTGGGTTTTGGGCCAGTGAGGTTCCCACACTCTCCGATGCAGCGGGCCCACGAAGCCTGCAGGTGTCTTTGTCGATATGACAGGCTGAACCCTACACACCCGCAACCCAGATCCTGAACTGTGAACCCTAAAGCCTGAACCCCTCGATCCCACTGAATCCTAAACCTCGTAGCTTAGGTTTCCCTGCAGAAGCTGCCGGAGCCTCGAATTCTGTCTGAGGACGTAATGGAGAGTCTCTGTCATAGTTGGGTAACCTTTTACATGTTTATGGGTACTAAAGCAGCCCAAGAAGTGGACATGATCGTTTTTCATATTGTCCCAAACCCTAAACCCTAAACCCCTAAAGCCCTAACCCCTAAACCCCTAAACCCCTAAACCCTAACCGCTAAACCCCTAAACCCTAAACCCTGAACGCTAAACCCTGAACACTAGACCCCTAAAGCAGTCGCAAAAAGGCGTTCAACAAAAAAAAGACCCCTAAAGCATGAGACGAGGAATCTGGAGACTGCCTCAACAAGCCGCCCTCGGCCACCCGATGCGCCTCTCCTCCGGGAGCTCGCTCAGACGCTCTGCTTCAGGCTTTGCGGTTTAGGGTTGTTTAAGGGTTCAGGGTGTTTTAGGGCTTTAGAGCTTAAGGGCTTCAGAATTGATGGTTAAGGGTTTTTTAGGGCTTGAGAGCTTTAGGGCTTTAGGCGAGAACACACTACTGGTACAGCACACTACGACATAGGTTCGGCCGCCCCCCCCCCCCCTCCCCCCCCCCAATGGTTCCTCCTCCCCCCCGTGGTGTGGTGTGGTTGTGGGTTGCTTCCCCCTCCCTGTGGTGCGGTGTGGTGTGGTTTGGGAGTGGGTCTGCTTAGGCTGGTTACCCCACTCCCCCGTGTGGTGTGGTGTGGTTTGGGTTTCCTGCGTGGGTCTGCTTGGCGTGTGAGCCCTCGTGTGGAAAAAGCTTGCGCAGTCACAAACAGATTCGGCTTGGGGAGCGTGGGGGGGGGGGGGGGGGGGATACGATTGGGGGGGGTCGGTGAACCGAGAACCGGGATCATATATAGAACATACCAGCGAACATGTATAACAGCCTTGTGCAGTGTTTGTAACATGCCGGTGCATATTGTGATGCTTCGTGGATGCTGAAAAAATGGCAGTGAGCCGTGGTACAAACTTAAGCCCTCGACCCCAAGCCCCAACGCCTAAACCCTAAACCAAGCTTGTTTAGGGTGTTGACATACGATACCATGGGGTTTAGGGTTTAGGGCTTAGGGCTTAGAGTATAGGATAGGGTGTTAGGTTTTTTATGTTTCAGGAAGACCCCCCTGCGATTTCCAGCCTTAGTTTGCGCAGCATTGTTCCTTGCTTGTCGCGAACAGATGGCCACCAGGTTTCAGGGTTCTTGCTCGACGCCGCTTTTCAGTGTTTTGTAGCGATTGAACTTTTAGGGTTTTATGGCTCATGGGTAGGAGATTGGCACCCGAATATTGATTTTCGGCCGGTGCCTGCGCCATCATGTTATTTGCCTTACCTGTCTGCTAAAGTTGGCCGGCATTCTCCCTGGCGTCCTCGATGGCAATATATGCATGTCTCACTGTTTGACAGTAGTATCCCCTTATCCTTTCAATGTAATTTGGGTATTGAGATACACCAAAGCCCTAGTGCAATTATGAATCCTAAAGCCCGAACCCCGAACCCCTAAACCCTGTACCTGTAATTTACGAAAGCCCCTACTATGGAGGCTTTGACAATTACCTATACTATTTTGGGGTTCCCTATTCTGAAGAAAGTAAAATTAGCCCCGAAACCATCTTTTGAGTACTAAGGCCGCCCCTACAGTATCGTGTCCTCAGGATGCTAGATAGTTTATACCCTGAAACCCTCAAGCCCTAAACCCCAAGACCCGAAGCCCTGTAATTATGAAGGGCCCCTACAACCCTAAACCCTAAACCCTAAACCCCAAACCCTTAAACCCTAAACCCTAAACCCTTAAACCCTAAACCCTAAACCCTTAAACCCTAAACCCAAACCGTGGCTTCAGTCTCAGGATGCTGGATCCTGAAGGACGCCCGGTGCCACCGACATCCGACATCTTCAGCCCAGAGTCTCGTTGAGAGTTCCGCAGAACCATCCTGAAAACACGATACTGTAGGGGCCTTAGTAGTTAGAATAGGGTTTTGGGGCCCATTATGCTATATTCATAATAAGAAACCCCAAAATAGTATAGGTAATTCTGGGCCCTGAAAACGTTCCGTTAGGGTCCCTACATGCGTGGTTGTCAAAATCATGGTTCCTTTTTGGGCTCCTTATTGTAATACGGCACCGAATATGTAGGGTGCCCAAGAAGGGGGCCATAATCTTGACAACTACCCACATAGATTAGTATTCTTATTTATGGTCCCTATGTGGAGATTATTGATGCTATGAAATACCCGGCAACATAAGTGAAATTGGCAAGGCCCCCCCCCTTTTTGCAGCTGCTGGCTCCAACGTCACAAGATCCCTAGCCACTGCGCCGTCAACAACTCCTCCTTAGTTCACGGTGAACCCTGAACCCCAAACCCCTATAGACCCTAACCCTGAAGCCTAAACCCTAAACCCTAAACCCTAAACCCTAAACCCTAAACCCTAAACCCTTACAGGAACCCTAAACTCCAAACTTGTAAAGGAACCCCAAAGGAAAGCTTACAGGAACCCTCAGCCCCAAACCCTAAACCCTAAAACCTAAACCCTAAAACCTAAGCCCTAAACCCCACCCTACACCGTAAACCTAACTCCTAAACTCCGAACCTTAAACCCCAAACCTTAAACCCTAAGCCCTGCACAGAAGTCTCATGTGTGGGCTAAGGAGTCGGTTCGAGCCTTTGATACGACCACCTGCTTCTTCGATGTCTACCAGACGACACTAGGGCCCAGTTCAGGGTTAAGGTTTCCGGCAAGCCCAGAGACTCCAATATCCCTTAGTTAAGGAATATTCCTTAAATCATATTAAGGATCCTACTATAATTTAAGGTATATTCCTTAATTAAGGGATATTGGAGTCTCTGGGAGGGTTCCTTCAGGGTTTCTGCAGGGGTTTGGGGTTTAGTGTTCAAGGTTAGTGTTAGGGTCCTGCAGCAGCGCTGTCTTTGTTCTAGAAGACACAGTAGTGCTGTTTTCGGTTTCTATAAGGGTTCTCTTCAACCTGACTCATAGGAAAAACCTTGAACCCTAAACCCAAAACCCTTAAACCCTAAACCCTAAACCCTAAACCCTAAACCCTTAAACCCTAAACCCGAAACCCTAAAACCGCAAGGGAGAATTTATGGGGAGACCGAGGATGCAGTACATTGCCTATGCTGGGCTCATGATCTATTATTGTGCTCTGGCTATGCCTCAGGTGACTCAGGGCTCTAAGGGCCGAGAGAGGCTTCGGGGTTTGGGGGTTTAGGGTTTAGGGTTTAGGGTTTAGGGCCTAGGGTTTAGGGTTTAGGGTTTAGGGCCTAGGGTTTAGGGTTTAGAGTTTAGGGCCTAGGGTTTAGGGTTTAGAGTTTAGGGCCTAGGGTTTAGGGTTTCGGGACTTGGGGTTTAGGGGTTCAGAGTTGCTTTAGGGTTTAGGATTTCAGCTGTTTCTGCCATGGGACCAAGGCACAATTGCTGCAAACGACGTGGACCTTGCTGCTGATATCACAGGCCAATGCTAAATCCTGACGGGTGACGACACCAGTGATGACAATGACGATTGTTGGGTCAATGCTGACGATGGCGATGATGGCGGTTCTCGTTGCAGTGGTAGCGGTTGCTGTGGGTTGGCGGCTGTCTCGTGCGTTGTTGCTGATGCTATTGAGAGTGACGGTGAGATTGGCAATGGGCAGTTGTTGCCACCGACAGCAGCGATGGTAATGAAGGTGATGATGATAACGGAGATGTTGTTGATGATGTTGTTGATGACGATGATGACGAATGTCATGATGAACACGATGCCGACGGGTGTAGCGGTCACCTGTGCTGCTGCTGGTGATGCTAGGAGTGGTGGTGGCTGCGGTGGTGGTGTTTGGTGGTCGTGCTGCTGCTGCCACTTCTGCTGCCTCTGGTGGTCTGGTGGCAGCGGTGCTGGTGGCAGTGTTGATGCCAATGTTGGCCCCATCGTGGCATGTTGTGGTGGCGGTGGTGCTGGTGGTGGTGGTGGTAGTACGTCAGGACGAACCGTGACAGGGAGTTCATGGCTGGAAATGGGTCGATCGAGGCCTACCGTAAACCCTGAACCCTTTTGCGAGTCTGCGAGCCAGAATACTGCAGAACAGAGCAGATTGGGCAAAGGCCATCGATGCTACTGCATCGAATCGAATTGTTACGTTATGCTGGGTGCTGGGCTCTTTTGGTCGAGACGCTAGAACATGTTCTGAGAGCGTCACTCCGAATGATGAACCCCGATGCCCAAACTGCAAAAACCTCAACTCATGTGGGTGATTCCCGGGTCCACCCTCCCATGACCCCCAAAACCCAAACCTACAGGCCTTAACTTACACTCCAATCCCTGAACCTCTACTCCCTACTACAAAAAAACCGCGTCGCGGAGGTGTCGAGGCCTCCGTTGCGTGGGTCGCTTCTTACCTTGCCTCTGCTTTCTCCACTTGCATTGGAGGACATCGGGGCATTTAGAGTTTAGGATCATGGGTTTCGGGTTTTGAGGATAATTTCTTTCGGAAGCCTGGTGGAAGCGCAGCAGGCTTCGGATCCTGTCCAATTGCTCTTGTCTTTAGGGTTTCGGGTTTGCTTCTTGCCTTAAATGGAATCACTCCAGGACTGGTTGCAGGCGACTGTGTTTCGAACGTTGCATGGACTGCTGGTAACTTTCCTCAGCTGGCGTCGGACGCACTGTCCATTGTTGGCGATTGCAGCAGTGACAACCAGACGGAGCGATTCGAGCCTCAGTTTCGACGACGACGAGACGGTATTTTGAGTCTTGTAAATGGAAGCTTAGCTGTCCGAGCGCTATGTCGAGCTTATGATAGTCAACATGCGCGTCGGAATCAATTTGCCTTGTCTCTTCTTGGCCCATCGGCCCAGGTACGCGCTTGGATGAGATACGGGCCATCCTGAAGAAACTGCGCCAGAGGCGTCATCGTCCTAATATTCTTCAGCGATTCCGGCTCAAGGAGACTGGGTTCTTGTTCATGGATTGAAAGTATAAGTCACCAGAAAAGGGATCTACATTAACTAACATGGTTTCCTCATTATGGTAACTTAAACTAAGTCCCCTAAACCCCTAAACCCTTCCTAAACCCCTAAACCTTTAGCAAGAACCCAGGAGAAGCTTTTCACTGGGCGCCAGCTACGTACCCGAGGCGCTCTGCCCAAAACCCCCCTGAGCCCCATGCTGCGAAGACCAGGAGCCCGAGATCCTGTAACCTATGATCTCCGGCATAGTCTGTTGTAATATTTGATCATATTATGGGTATATTTCGTTAGATTTCATGTTCTCGTATAAGATATTTTCATATATCATTTTGTACAACGGTAGATTGCACTACAATTTATTGGAGTATAGCACCCTATAATATGTAATACTGTGTCACATTATACCATACTATAGCATTTTAATCTAACGGTATATTATATGAAAACATATCGTTTAAAGTACAAAAGCATGCAGTATAACATTTCATGACATTTGTATCATATTGCATATCATATTATAACTTATCATATTGTTATATTGTGTTAAGATATAACACACTGAAGAAGATATCATGATGCTATAGTGTAATTATTCTTATATGCTATGTTGTATCATATTACCATTACATAATATGATATGATGTTATTATATTATGTCATTTTTGTTATGCTATCTCATACTTTACGAGATTTTTTATAAAAGCCCTGGAAGGTACCCCTCCGAATGCGCAGCTTGAGGCGGCTCAGGCCAGCTGTTTTTTCGACTCTCAGGCTATGACGCTTGGCAGGTAATGCAGGGGCCTTAATACTTGAAGTAGGGTTCCTTTAAAGGGGTCAATAAGGCTTACTATAAGGGATTTATGAGGGTACTATGATATAGTGGCCTTAATGTTTGAACTAGGGCTTCGGGGTATATGACACTTTAGCCACAAAAAGGAGCCCCCCGCTCCCGGCGAGCCGCCGAGCGGAAGGAGTGGGAGGAAGAATAGGAAGATAAGGGTTTAGGGTTTAGGGGTTTAGGGTTTAGGGTGTAGGGTTTAGGGATAATAGGAAGAGCAACGTGATTCGTCACCACAGACCTCACAACCATGTAACATGCATGTAGAACCATTGTAAGCTTCATATGTAACGTTGTGACTGATGAGTGTGGTGACCACCGAGACAAATAGAAGTAAACCGAACAAGAGCTCTTGTCCGGGGCCCCTCTCCAAGGTTTTCTAGGTAATCGTAATAATGGTGACAGCTACTGTACCAGTATTCCGGAGAAGCTTTCAATTCCCCGTTTCTCCCAGAACTACTTCAGAAAGCCCTGCAGAAACTTTCCATTGTTGGAGGTCTCCAGCAACATCACAGCTGAGCACTAGGCAAGACAGTCTGGTTAGCTATCCAACGGTTCATGGTGTTTCAAGTCAGTCATATCATTTCTTTCTTATGTTCTGTTTTTTGCATGCTATGCTACGTCCTTTTCGTGTTGTCCCTAATTTTCAACCCCAGGCCCTAAACCCTAGACCCTCGACCCTAACCCCGCTAATCCCTGAACCCCTGGCCTGGCCCTAGCTCCTTGCTTTCTCCCAGGATCAGCTTCTTCGCTCGGTTCGGCTTGCAAGTTGTTACTGAGATGAAGGATTGTGCAGTTGTGGACACGGAGAACGATGCTGGGCTTATGACAACCGCAAAGCCTAAGGATAGGTATCTGGTATTTAGACAACAATGGATGCTATAAGTAGTTCAGGAATGGACAGGCGACAAGAATGCATGAAGCAGATGGGCGCGAGTTGCATGTGCCGAAGGCGGTCATCAGGTGAGGTTGCCTGCACATGTGTGAGCCCTGTCGGCCCGATGTCGGTGGGTGACTGGGATGATGTCCTGGTGTCCCTGGCAAGCAGGGATAGCTGGGATACAGGCATAGATAGGCTAGCTTTAAACAGCCATGAGACGGAGCTCAAGGCCCAAAATCACAGTGTGGGCCTCTTGCGCTCTGTGACAGCCGAATACATGTCGGATTCAGACGCTGCTGCATCGGGCCCCCTTGCCAAGCCCGCCAACTTGAACTTTAGAGTCACCAGCTGGTGGGGACGTCTTTTGAAGCTTCACACGCAAGAGATGAATGTGTGCCACCAACAATCATTGAATGTGAAAGCAGTGATGTCAGCATGTACGGGAATCTTCTGCGAAGGCGAGGCACTCCGTGTGCCTAGACTTCTCCAATCACCGCTGTTTTTTGGGTGTGCCAGCTGGCAGTGTTTCACTGTTTCAACTTAGATATTCGATCCTGTATAATACTCCGAAGTCAAAAAAACATGCATTCCAACATAGACCCGAGAAGTGCACCCGCATGGCGTAGGAAGCAATCATTTCATGAAGCCTACCGCACTAAGGCCAGACCACAGTAGAACCCAGAAAGTTGGAACATCATTATCTCCATGCCCTTAAGGTAAAGTATAAGGGATCCTAGCACTAATCCTCCTAAAACCATGTTCCAACTTTCTGGCTTCTACTATAAGCCATACTAGAGTCACTAGAGTATAAGTATAAGCACTGTTTAAGACTTTAAGCCTTTGCTCAGGCGCTTGGTATCCCGTTCCGCTGTTTGGCAGGGGCTGAGAAGGATCCTCATTTCAGATCCATTGTAGCAGCCAATCACACCGTGGAGCACATGTACGAGAGCTTGGAGAGCATGCTTAAGGATCACAGCACCAAGCATGCCATCAATTTGGCAGTGACTGGGTCACCTTGTAATCCTTACAGTGTAATGCGCTGCAAGCGCTTTTCCGACGGCTCGGTGGCGAGCCACAGCATGCACGGCACGACCATGCAGTCAGTCGTCGACTTCTATCAGAAGTATGAGCCTCATGTGGGAATCACGGAGCAAGTGGCGGGATTCGGCCAGCGAACAAGCACGACGGATCCTACGAGTCCTTACGAGAGGCCACGTTTAGTCAAGAGTCAGGTTTGCTCATTGAGCTCGATGTTTGTTGCTTGTTGTCGCGTTTCGGGCAGCATGTTTGTGAGGGGTGGGTGGGTGGTGAATCAGTTCAGTTGGAGTGCAGGATGCAAACCAGCAAACCATGCAAACGTTTCCGCGAATCGTACGGGTCTCCCCGCGATTGGCTTGCTTGCTTCATTCTGCCGAGTCTGTCTGCTTCTCTTCTTTGCAGCTCTGTCGCATGCTTACATTGGCTTGCATCTGATTCATATCTCGATGCGTCTCGCTTTGTATATCTAGAGTAGGACATCTACACATTTCTTGGATGGTTCTATTGTGCTGCACTTTCATGCATCATGAATTCATCGCCCTCCCCCTCTCCGCCTCTCCCTCTCCCTCACACTCTCCCTTTCCTGTCCCTTTCTGATTCTCTTTGTTGTTGTGACCATGACCATTGCTGACCTCCATGTGCGGTCATCTCGCATCAGACGGTTGTAGCATTGTAGAATGTATGAGCAGTCAGTAAGCCTTGGCTGCCTTAGCTAAAACCCACATCTACCTTTCCGCCAGTCCAACCATCACCCGTATGCACAGGTTCATGGCTGCAATGAAGGCAGTCCCCTTTCGGAAGGGTGGCTACTACGTGGCCCGCCTGGACATGGATGCAGCGGACTGGATCAAGATCCGTCGGCCGAGGCCGGTACTAATATGTTCGGTTGCCACTTGAGCCGTTCAAGCGCACACAGTTCCGTGTCTTGGTCAGTCTTGAGAGTCTTGGTTCTGCATTGCAGTGGTCATGTTGTCTTATGCATGGGCCGAGATATCGTAGCTGTCAATCCACAGAAGCTCCGGGGCGTCCTAGCTATTGGCCCGAAACAAGAGCATGGAGGATGAAAGCGTAGGCGACTGGGACGATCTGCTGCTTTCCTATGCAGTAGATTCAGCTGCAGCAGATGATCATCCGTCTCTGGCAGCGGACGACGTTCAGCCTACTGCATCTGTACATGTAAATGCTGCTGACGCAGACTATGATTCCTGGGACGCAATGTTTCTGCCTGCAGTCCCTCCGCCTGGTCATGCAGCACAGATGGAGGCTGCAGAGACCGATAGAGTGGCCGTCCCGGCCAATCGATTGTATGGGAACCCCAGCAGTCTGCAGCACATTGGGACACGGCTGCACCAGAGTTTGTTTAGCTGGTTTCGCCAAGCACGCTCGGCTATGCAGCGGCAGCTGCAGACCCAGGGCGTGGATAGAGAGCATGAAGGACAGGAGGCCAACGAAGCTATGGTTCCGGCTGAGGCGGGCCAGACATCTTTGGAGGCTGTAGTGCAGACTTATGTGACAGAGCCGAGCTTTGCAAGCTTCCGCGCTGCCAGACGAGCCACTGGTGTGCCTGAAACCAGCATGAGACGGGAATTGGTCCAGTTCGCTTGTGCGCTGCTCTACAGCACGACCTGGCTGTTGGGAGCTTTCTTCCGGGGCTGGTTGCAAGTGTACCGTGGCCCACGGTTTCGGCCATTGATGTTTGTGTCCAAGGTGCGTTATGATGAGACGCCTTTGAAGTTGAAGGTGCGAGATGCGAAGTCTTTCCTGCATGATGCAAGTGCAAGCAGCGACCAGCCAATGTCACTGGCGACTTATCATCATCCACCGCTCGGGCAAGTTTCGCACCTCACTGCAGTTGGCGACAAAGCGAACGCAGACAGCTACACCCATGCCAAAATATTTTGTGTGGAGTGGACACTTGGCAGCTCGGCTTGATGAGTAACGGTACGCCCAATCAATCACTAACAAGGACCCAGTGTTTGCACACAGCGAAGACTTGTGACTTGTGCCAGCGCGCAGATAACTACCCGGTACTTGAGGCCCTAGGGCCCTAGACCCTGATTAGACTCTAGACTCTAGACTCTAGGCTAGACTGAGTCTCTCGCCCGCTGAGGTTTTCTCTCTGTGGATGTGCAGAGCAAGGAGCATCACTTCGTGACATGTGAAGTTCCTACGCACTTGTACTGCATAGATCGCACCACAGGCGAAAACCAGTTAGCAGTGCTTCAAGACATTGAGAACAAAGTGCCCGAGCTGCGGCACTTCCGAGAAAAGCACCCTTTGCAAGTTCGGCTGGCTGTCGCCGATAGGTATTCAGCTAACTTGGTGGCTGAGCGTGAGATCCAACGCCAGAATCCAGACCAGACGACGGGCTTGATTGGTTGCAGTGTCCACAAAGCTGCTTCCTCCCTGAAGTTCTCAACCAACCTAGAGGCCAAGACCATATCCGGAGTGGTCCAAACTGGCCTGGCTCTTGAGTCTGTAGGCTCTGCGCAAAAGCTGCGCAAATGTCTGCAGCAAATATTTCACGAAGAGCTCGAGATCGTGTTCGATCTCCCTCCAGGAGGACAGATCGCAGCTTACCGGAAGGAGTTGCTTGATCTGTTTGTGTCAACACGAGCAGTTGGCGCAAGTCCGCGCATCAATGCCCAGAGACAGTTTGTGCTGAATCAATACTGCAATTCAGACTTGCAGTCGGCTCGAATTATCCATTACTGTGGGCCCGGATGTTGCTCATCGCCTGAGCAAACCTTCGAGATGTTCCTGGGATTTGTGTCGTGGTCTTTGATCCCATCGAAGTGTGGCCTGCTGTCAAGAAAGGCTTGGCTGGGAGCGGACCGACCAGTAGATTTCATCGGTCTCCTTTCCTGTGTGTGGCAATTGTGGCCACGGGTGCTGTCCAAGTACACAGGCAAGCCTCAACCTGGGCTTGTCAACAGTGCCAAGCAAGACGACGCCGATGAGAACTCCTGGGACAGCCTCGAGGCTGTGGCGCTATTCCGCCGGCCTGGCTCGGCCGACGCCTCGCATGATTGCGAGAGTGGGGCGGTTGAGGAAGCAGCTCCTCCAGACATGCTCAATGTTGATGCAGACACTTGGGCGCAGATGAACCAGAAGAACCGATCCGCAGCTATGTCGTTTGCTTGCTCGGCAAACGTCGCCGAGAGATTGGTGATCCTGCGACAGACCATGGAGGTGGGCTTGCAGCTACTGTACCACATGCTCCATGTTGCAGGGCCACAATGGGAAGCTGAACAGAAAAAGAAACAGGCTGAGACAGGGCAGCGCAGCTACAGGGTGCTCGACGCAGCCACCGGGGAGTACTTGAAAGGCTTCTTTCAACAAGCGTCTCAGATGATGCTGAGCGCGCCGAGAGCATTGGCCAAGTCTTCCTACACCCGACGATCTCGCGCCACCATGTTTCGACTGCTGGCCAGTTTGATGGCTTGTATCTGCTACTTCCTGCAGAGGTGCTTTGAAGGCTTCCCGTACTGTCTCTTCAAGCTCCTCATCGACCCGACGGCAGCAGATGAGATTCTGAACCAGCGGCCTGCCTGTATGCGGGACAGCCTCTCTGACAACTTCCTGCAGAAATACAGTAAGCCGTCCGATCCCGAGGCACTGTGTGCCTTGCACGCATTGGCGATTCTCCTCGAGCTAGACATAAGCGGCGTCGAGTCGGGACACAGCTCTGTGAGGGAGTACACAATGAGCAGAGGCAGGGGGCATACCCCAGACCTTGCTCAAGTATCAGCCAAACGCCTCTGTGCGTGGTTCGGCCGTAAATATGTGCATCCTTCTGATCGAAAGCAGAATGCTCAGCAAAAGCGGAAACAGCGCAAGGAGAAGAAGCATGCGCGACCTGGTGGCGCTTGGCGCGCGTTTTGCTCGGACAGAGCGAAAGGGCAGAAGTTCAACCGCGTCCTGCTAAGAGCTCTCTCTGCCGAGTACCGTGGGCTCTCCCAAGACGAGTACGAGATGTACCGGGAAAGAGGTGTTGCAGCAACCGCTGCTGCACGTCTTGGCAACAAGCGCCCCTTCAGCTTGGTGGACCAGCCGGACCAGCCGTTGCAGCTTGCTCTACGCCCTGCCGAGGTTCTAGAGAAGCACACAGACCTGGTCCTCAGGCTGCCTGGCAGTGACTTTGAATCCCAGTTTGAAGTTCTTCGGGCCCGACTTCGTGCTGGTCACCGAGCTGACAAGTCCCGGGCGGCAGTTGCCCCCGCCGACGTTCCCCTTGACACTAGCTTCTTGCAGCAGGCCCTTGACCGAGGTGGAGGCCCTGGCCTCGTGGAAGGTGTTCGCACCCGCCCGCACGCGGCAGCAGTTCCCAAGTTGCAGCACCACTGCTTCGTTCCCCCCGCTGTCGGCTTTGCCAAGGCCGGTGCAGCAACAAGAGCCGCAAGACGCCCACGTCCTGCTCACGTATATAGTGAAAGTGCTTTCTTTTTGCAGTAATTAGTTACGTTTACTCTTTCCATAGCACTGTAGCCTGTAGCGCTACAATCCCACTTGTGCCTCTTTCCTGCGCAGGATGCTTTAGCGTTCAGCAAGAGCCGACGCTCTCAGATGGAGGGCACCCAGACTTCTTCCATGAGTGATTGGCTGCACAACCAATGGACTCTGGAGCACACGAGCCTTCGGCACGAAGACCGGAGCAAGATACCTAGGTCCAAGAAGCATGCGTCCGGCATGGGACCATGTGGTCTAACGGGGACCTGCTCCTGCTCCCGGCCTAAGGAGCAGGAGTTCTGCAAAAAGCTGGCGCAGTTGCTTCGAAAGACCTTCTGGAAGCGCCGCGGAGTCGCATGCGCTGAACGCTTGGACTACGAAGCAGGCCGTCTGGTGGTCTCTCTGAAGATTGGTGACGGCGAGCAGGAGGTTTTTTTCTTTCCCGGCTACACAAATTTCACAACATGGACTTTTTCAGCTGTCGTGCTTCGGCCTCGTGGACGCCAGGACGAAGCAGGCGTTTTGAAACTTGTCTTCGGTGATGAGGAGACACATGTTGTGGAGAGCCCATGGACGGTGCTGGCAGACCTGCTGACCATGCAGGCGTTGGTGAGAAAGTTCGTGGACGTGTCCAAGCCGTGCACGTTACGACTTTGGAAGATTCTGGAAGATGAACAGACATTGGCCGTGTGGCAGATGCAACCTCGTTTCGTGGATGTTTGCTTGCACGCAGATGAGCTTGCATTCTGGAAGGGTGAGGCCTTACCAATTTTGCTGCGTTTTAAATGTTTTTTTTACTCGGTCAAGTAAACTCCTGCATGCCAGGCTAGAGTCAAGTGAGTTTAGTTCGGTCCCAAGCATAGCTCTCTAGATTCCTGGGCTATGCTAGATGCTAGCTGCTAGCACAGAGGTTGTGGGTTCCTGGAGCTACATATATTTAGGTGTCTACTCACCACCTTGCGCAGGCGTCAGCGGCGGCGAACAGAGACCAGTACCACGGCGTCCTGGACGATATGGGTGA